ATGAGGGCGCGAGCCCGCACAGAGGGGAACCGCGTGATGACCAAACGAACAGGTTGGATCAGCACCGCCAACATCACCGCTGACGCCGCCGAGCAGCCAGCTAACATGCCCTGAAAACTTACATAGGCCTCGGAGAGAGAACCAAAAGCGTCGACCCGCCTAGGGGCCATGTAGCTCTGGATGAACATCCACCCCAGGCGAAGGGGGAAATGGACCTGGCGAATAACCTGAAACAAACCAGAGGGCTGTATCATCTCATAACACTTGACCATATCCAGCAGCAACGAGACACAATGACGGGACCGTGCCTTCGCAATCTCTGCTGCTAGATTCAAATCCAAGGCTGAATCACTAGAGATCATCCCCCTCCCAGTACCCCAAAAGGCCTGCACCCACCCCTCATCACACGCAGTCCTGGCGGCGACGGCCCCTGCGCCGCAACAAGGAATCTAGGACGGCGATCAAGCGGTGGCCGCCGTCAGGCTTGGCCAGTCTGATCAAGCGACTAACTAGCCGTCCCGTCGGCCAACACCCGACCCTCTCACAGCTCATGAGAAGAGCGGCGACAGCCGACAAGATGGCATCCGACAAATACTGCAGCGACCTCGGGTGAATGCTCACGCACCCGACAGCCGTACGAAGAGGGAATTTGGCGATCGCCGCTGGCAGATCGGGAATCGTGATCTCGGGGAGCGACGGCGAATCATCAAAATCGGGCGGGAACTCGGGCGCTCGACATCCGTGAGTCGACCAGATCTTGGCCCAGTCCGAGCAAATCGCATCAGCCAGTTGAAACGGCTGTGCTCGCTCGGTGGCCTCGATCGTCTCCTGGAGACCTCGCACCTTGGAAAACCTATGAGCTTCCCGAGCCCCGCCCAAAAAACTGTTCCGAACCCAGGTCTTCCAGGACTCGTCCTTCAAAGCCAGGAACCTGGCCTGGTGAGAGTCGGCCTGGTCCAGGATTCGCTGAATCAAATCCTCGGTCGCTGGGTCGCCAAAAACCGCAAGGCCTGAAAGAAAAAAGGTGCGCGTCAAATGGTCCAGCGCCTGCAGGGTGGAGCGCTGCCTCGCGACGTTGCTCATGAAAGCCTGAGCCTCGAACAGGATGCGCGCCACCCCGCTCCAGGCGCCGCTGCTGGTCCTCGCCCTCCTCGCTCAGCTTCGGCACGTACGTCGACAGGGCCTGGTTGACGCGCCTGATCTGCCGCGCCCAGCGCGCCGCCGCCGCCCACGCCGTGTACTCCACGTCAGCCTTCGGCAGCCGAGTGCGCACCACCGTCATCACCTGCTTCCAGACCGTCTCATGCGGTCCTGCACGACCTTCATGGTCCTTACGACTGGGGCCCATGATGTCGTGCCTGATGTGTGGAAGGGGACGAGGCCCAGGCTGGAGGAAGTCGACACGAGCCCGAAACGCAGGTGAGGAGGCCGCTGGAGACGAAACAGAACGAGGAAAGCCGAAGGGGGATCGGCCAGGGCCAGAGAGAGTGGACGGGCTGGCTCCTCTCTCCGGCTGACTCGTGACGCCGGAGGCCTGGGATTGAACTCAGGTCGGGCATGTCCTCCTCCAGGCGGATTCTGGACGAAGAAGTCAAAAGGTCGTCGAAACATGCTCAAACAACATGTGACAACAAACACGTTGGAAAGATCGCCCCCAGAGTGTTTTGTGACTATGTTTTTGGGATACTCCTCCCGTCGAGGGACAGGCCCGGCTTACGCCTGACCTGGCCATCGCTCGGACGTCCATTCCCTGTGTTTTTTTTTCCCGGCTTCGTGCGTGGCTCTTTCGCCACATGATCAGGGATGCTCCTCGATGGCCCTCGCCGAAGGAAAGATGCGCACGTCCGAGCGACCCGCCGCGGCCGGCGGCGCGGCCGCATGGGCAGAGGACGGAGGCGCCACCCGCGGGCCGCTCCCTCCGCGCGAGGAGGAGGAGGAGGAGGAGGAGGAGGAGGAAGAGGAGGGAGAGGAGGAGGAGGAGGAGGAGGAGGAGGAGGAGGAAGAGGAGGAGGAGGAGGAGGAGGAACAGGAGTCGGCCCCCCGGGCTGCATGCGCACGTGCGGTGCTCGCAGCTCCCCCCCCCCACGGGCCGCCCGCCCCTGCCGCAGCCGCCGCGCGGGCCTCCGGAAGAGGCCCGCGCGCGGGCCTCTCCTCTAGGAGGAGGCCCCGCGCGAGCAGGGCGGCCAAAAAAAGCGCCCCAAAAGGCCGCCGCTGCTCGGCGCTCCCCCGCTCCCCTCGGAGGTAGGGCGACGAGATCTATGCATCTCCACTGCTCCTGGCCAGGCCCATCCTGGGCCCAGGAGCGGTGTATACGCCCTCCTGGCCTGGCCAGGGGGGCATATACACAGCTCCTGGGCCCAGGATGGGCCTGGCCAGGGAGCAGTGGATATGCATGGATCTCGTCGCCCGACTCGGAGGTGGACAAACCTCCCTTTCGTAGACCTCCCCTTAGTGAAAACGGCCGGGGACCGAAGCCGACGGACCTGGACCCGCACAAATG